ATCTCATCTCTCCCCGTACGTGTCACCAATAGGCATGGGTAAATTAGGAGTCCAGCAGGGAGCAGCAAAAACTATTAGAGGTCTAGAAAACAATTTATAAAAAAAGGTTGGAAGATCTGGGATTATTTAGTCTAGAGAAGACAAGAGCAGGGGAATTTGATGAGTCTTTTAGTACCTGAAGAGGAGTTAAAAGGAACATGTTAAACTATTCTGTACATGTGCCGGATGTCTGCTCCAGCTCATCCTAATTAACGTGCTTCAGCAGCTTCTGCATCATGTATTCAGTGTCCCTATGCTTTAAAATGGCAGTGAGGGTACGTTAACTGAAGCTCATCGAACAATCTTTAGTTAAAGTGCCTCTTGCTGCCATTTTGAAGTGCAGGACAGTGAATATGGGTGATACTGCAGGCACTTTAATTGAAGAGTTTCTCTGAGCTGCTCAGTTAACACCCCACCTCCTCCCTCTCCACCCTGAGGCATGTGTAAAGAAGTCCTATGGCACCAGGAGACTGGACAATGAATAAGAATCTTAAATTTCAGCAATGAAAGTTTTAAGTTGAATATTGAGAAGAACCTTCTCACTAGGAGGGTGGTTAAGCATTGGAGCAGCCTGTCTAGAGAAGTTATGTCATCTCTGTCCTTGGAATTTAAGAGCAAGTAAAACACATTTTTGTCTGGAATGGGTAAGACAGGGATTTTCCTGCCTTGAGCAGATTGGACTGCCCATCCTACTTTCCTATGATTCTATCATAATGAGACTCAAGTTGCTCAATCTAGTATTTTAATAAAAGCATGACTAAAAAGACAAGACAAAGACTGAGAGCTAACCTAACCACAGTATGTTAGTACCTATATAGAGAATAAAACTTTGACAAGGGGCTCTTCAGTCTAGCAGAAGACTCTTCATCAAAGGTTGTGAATTTTTCATCAATGCCAATTTTAAAGGACAATTTTATACTATCTTACTCTTTGATTCTTCCTTTTCTAATCTATAAATCTTACTGGGTGCAGATTGAAGAACATGCAGTCAGCTCCTTTATTGCACTGTCACACTCGATTATGATAGGGCCATGATTTTACCCCACATGTACAATTGAGCAAAATAAAAAAAATTCCCTATGTTTATGGAAATATTTTTTCACAATTGTATTATAATATGTGATAAATATATACACAAACTTTGTTCTTAAATTCATTTGAATCTGTTACCAGACCCTGCATATCAGAGATGAAAATATAAAAACTGACACCACCTTATTATCAGACTTTGTTATCGTGATTTTACTTGCAAGTAGGATATTAAAACAATTGCAAAAGTTAAAAAAAATTTTATCTGACAGTGAGAGTAATGTATCTGTGCTATCAGTAAGTTAAAATAATTTTTAAAAATGTATGCAAATGTACTATTTTAAAATAACATATTACTGCACTTAGCTCAGCATTTTTTGTTTGTTTAATTTAGTGGCTCAGCTAATGTCCAGCCTATTGATAAAATGGAAAAATGCACAGTAGCTCTCAAGCCTGGAGCTGCCTACAATTTAATTCACACAGTCCTGTTTGGATGCCTGGCTTTAAGCACAATGAGGTATTTCTTTTTTAATTCCACTATTATCTTTGCCAGCTGCTGATTATTTTATATACATTACAAATGTATTAGCCATAACCCCATGCAGCCCAGTACATCCTTCATCTCTCTCCCTGTATTGCCTTGCATGTATTCCAGAACAGTATGGCCTTTCCCAGAACAGTCATGCCACAAAAAAACAAACCAGTCATAATTTGAATGGAAGACTTAACAGCTTCCATCTCTGCCTTTCATAGCAAGGTGCCAAGGTTGATCTTTTAGTCCATCACTTCTGCTTGGCTGCCATTCAGGGAGCAAAGAAAAATCTTTTTTCTTTTTTTTTTTTTAATTTTCTTGAAGTTTAGCAACCAAAATATTTTGTATCATTGTACAGTAATATTGTTCCACATGGTTCCAGATAATCAATAACAATCTGTCTGTCCTCTTACAGAATGAAATATCTTTGGACATCTCATATGTGTGTATTTGCATCTTTTGGTTTGTGCAGTACTGAAGTTTGGGGATTTATCCTGAAATCTGTTCATCTGAACACACCGCAGAGGGTTAGAACTGTGCTTTTAAAAATTACATTATTTAAAACTATTTTTCCGATAGCTATGTCAATGAAGATTCAGATTTATAAAGACCATCATGAAACAAATTGTGTTTTTTTGCCTCACATGTACAACTAACACAGTTAAGAAGCATTTAAAATGCACTAGTTTATACTTCTAAAGAACATATGGTTATAAGCATATTTAAGAAGTTACGGTTAAACTAATCAGGAGTTTAATAATGTAAACAATTCCATTTGAGTGCACTAGGTGGCAATATACAAACAGCTATGAAAAGTGGTCACAACTTGAATAAACCTTTACATTTTATTAGTTTGAACAAAAACATACTGTTTGTTTATTATAATATGCTAGAATATTTTTGAACTTCACAGGAGCTAATTTTAAATGGCCAAATATAAATTAAAATTGTAGTGGTTTATATTCATTCTGTTTACCATGATTTTTTAGAAGTTATTGTCTTGGCTCAAAACAAAATTGAGATGAAATGCAGTCTCCACAGACAGATGTTGATTCCTTTGCATATCCCACTACATGATAAGTGGAAGAGTGATGACAGAAAAATAAACATTAATTTTGATTAAAATTAAGTTGTGCCACAAGAACTAATTGTTGTTTATTTTGGAGTTCCCTTTTAGATATGTGTGATTAAATATTTGGTACCAATAGCAACATTGCTGTACCTTTCCCATAAGGTAAGAATTTTCTTAATTTCTTCATTGACAATAGGATTTTACCTTTTTTAATTTTAATACTTAGAAATTTTATATGAAAGAAGTTTGAAGATGAGGTATTTGGTATAAAAACTTATTTCTAAACAGGATTTGCATACCAGATTTTTATTTTACTACTGCCCTAAAATGCCAATTCAATTGGCACCGTTGTTCTTTACAGAACATGGGGTATATGCCGACGAGTTCTTTGATGGCTGCTGAGTCCCATGTGCTAGTGACAGTCCTGCCCACAAGTAGGGCACACCCATGCACTAGCAATGCTTTGAATCTGATTCAGCAGATGCAACAGTTTTTTTCCTCCTTTGACACCCGTCATCACAAAACTTGGTCCAGTCCACCTTGCAGCGCCTTACTCCATCTGCAAGCTGACTCTGCCAGCCAGAGCAGCATTCTGCGTTCCTTTCCCAGTCATCCACAGAGATTCCAAAGGATCTTTGCAAGCATCCTGAAATCTGTACAGCAGTCTGCCTCTCTAGTCTAGACCCTTTGTGAACTTCAGAGTATAGCATATTCTTTGGGATCCTGTGATCCAGCATTCGCTTACATGACCAAGCCACCCAAGTCTTTTCTTATTAATCAGTATTCCCATGAATGACTTACCAGCACAGTTTAACACTTCCACATTTGTCACACTGTCTTGCCATCTTATTCGAGGAATTTTACGTAGGTATCTGATACGAAAACTGTTTAGTCTTTTGATACGTTTGGCATACTGTCATCCACGTTTCTGAACCATATAGAAGACAGTATAAATGCATGTCTCATAAATCTGGATTTTCACTTTAGTTAACAGTTTGTTATTTTTTCAGGCTCTGTCTTGCAAAAGACCAAAGTTTCTGGCTGCTTGGCTGGTAATGGTAGAGCCAAGGTAAAAAATTTGGTCAACGACATCCAAACGAGTACCATCTAGGGTGATATCTGGAACTGTTTCTGAAGAGAAACAGCATGATAACTGTCTTCTTCAAGCTTATTGCTAGCCCATAAATTTTGCATGAGTCAGAGAACTTAGTAATGAGATATTCATCCAACTCAAGCGAGCCTGCCGTAGAATGTGTTTGAGATGAATTGCCTGAGTTTGAAGTTATGACTTTGCTGGATGCCAATCCTACACTAAAGGAACTTGAACAATGCATCAAAAAAATCTAACAACAAACCTTCAGCATAAAAGCAAAGGGGACAGAACTGACTGTAATAACCACAGAAGTATATCTCTTTTCAACATTTTGGGAAAATCTTAAGCCATATTCTTTTACCTAGACTTCAAACATTAGCTGAGAGAATCTAGCCAGAGAGCCAGTGTGGCTTCTGCTTGGACAAGTCCACCATAAATACCATCTTCTCTGTAAAACAGCTGCAGGAAAACTGATGAGAGAAGCATATCCCCCTGCACATGGCTTTTATAGATTTAACAAAATCCTTTGGCACAGTCAGTCAGGGTTTTATACAATTCTGAAGAACCTTGGTTGTTCACCTATATTGCTGAACTTTGTGAAATCCTTACATGATAGCATGAAGGCAACTGTAATGTATGAAAACCAAGAGTCTGACTCATTCAACATCAACACTGAGAGCCACAAGGGCTTCATCGTCTGCAAACAATAGGTCCCTTATGATGATCTCCTTCACCTTCGTCTTAGCTCTGATCCCTGCAGTGCTAAACAGTCCTCCGTCATGTCTGCTGCTGAGATAGACACTCTCTTGAACATCACGGAATGTGTATTGAAGCAAGAATGAGAAGTAAATGTTAAACCATGTGGGAGCCAGTACACAGCCCTGCTTCACTCCATTGTTGATGTTGAATGAGTCAGACTTTAGGTTTTTATAAATTATAGTTGCCTTCATGCCAGTGTGTAAGTATTTCACAAGGTTTAGCAGTATAGGTTGACAACAAAGGTTCTTCAGAACAGTATAAAGCCCTGACTGACAGTGACAAAGACTTTTGTTACATCTGTGAAAACCACATACAGTGGGATACGCTGAAGCTTTGTTATTAGATTTTTTTGATGCATTGTTCAGGTTTCTTTAGTGTAGGTCTGGCATCCAAAGTCATAACTTCAAACCCAGGAAATTCATCTAGAACATGGTGGTCTACTGCAGGCTCCCTTGAGTATATCATTCCATAGTGCTCAATCCACCTCTCTGGTTGCTTCCCCTTATCAGTTATGATATTGCCATCTAGGTCTTTCAATGGAGCTGTCATGTACTTTGTCAGCCCAGTGGCCTTTCTAATGTCCTCATACAACCATCTACTGTCAGTTGCATCAGCTGCCTATTGGCTGCTATTGCAGAGACCCAGTCAGAATTCTTGAGCACACCTGCTGGAAGCTGTTTGAACAGCCTTACAAGCTTCTCTTAGCTGAGTGAATTAGTAGTAGGAGTAGACTTGTAGGCAATTAAGGTACTTCTTTTTCTCTCTGAGTGGCAGCAGTACCTCTGAATGGTCTACAAACCAGTTGTTGTTTCCTTTAGTACTCTCCAAAACTCTTGACTTCCACATTTTACATACTTGTCTTCAGGACTTCCCATGCATGTAATGCAGTTTCATCCATCCCAGCTAACTTTGCTAGTTTTTCATTGAAATGCAGTTTCTTGACTAGATCATTGATTTGGCACAAGTCAATATGAGGTTGTCTGGCAGGTTTACTGTGTTAGATCCTCTAAGCTTGAAATTTCTCTTTGCAGCAGAGAAGGGAGTAAGTAGTCTGTATCACAGTCAATGCTTTGAAATTGATGGTGTATGCAGGATATCTTTCAAGTGTGTATGTCTTGTTAGTACCATGTCCAGCTGATGCCAGTGCTTGACTTCAGGTGTCTCTGCAAAGTTCTTCTGCTGTTACCAGCAAAGAAGGTGTTGGTCATTGGTGAGCCTTGACTGGCACAGAGTTCAAGAACTGTCTGACCATTGTCAGTCATGTGTCCAGTGCCATGCCTATCCATATATTCTAGGAAGTAGTCCTGTTTATAAAATCAGTTGAGCCAGGATGTAAGTAGTGAGGCTTGTTTCACCCACCTGTTCTAGGGCCACCTTCATGCGAGGCAAGCAGGCCATCTCTAAACAGGACTGCTTGGAAATCTTGGTAACTGCCTCAGGGCCCTTATGCCTTTCTCAGATCCCTGCCACCATCTTGCCAAAAGCTTCAGCACAGATGCCTAGACAGAGTTAGGGAGAAGTGGAAGCTGCCATAGACCTGTTGTCCCCCCTTTAGACCACCGAGCCAAAATCCAAAGGCCAGACTGAGTCTGGTCATTCAGTGATACAGAGATTGTAGGTTCTGCCAGAGAGCAACCTGAATAGAGCTGCTAACTACCCATCGCTTTAGCCTGACTGCTTTTTCTGTCAGGGTGAGGTCTCTTAGCCTTTCTTCAACCAAGAAGTGTCCACAAGGCAGCGGAGAATGCAGTTTAACATCATGCCCAGGACAAGCCCTAAAATGTATCTTGAAGAATTAAATACTGGGTACATGAGCTGTTAACCAACTCACAATTAACTATGAGATTTATGTCTGAATTTTAAGAAAATCAGGTGATTCCATGTACAAAAATGATTGTCTGTCTAAACTGCATGTGCATTTATGGAAATAAAGTCACATTTAGCTGGTCACTTGGATTCACAAGCTTATGTGCTGTTGTAGTAGTCATGTGTTCAGATTATCAGGCATGATTTACATGCGTAATTTCCTGAAAATGTAAGCATATATCTGTTCTAATTTTAACCACTTATAGCTAAGTTGCAGATAAGATACAGATTGTTAACTTGTGTAATGATCCATTTTAAGAGCAGAAATGATCATCATCTTCTATACTGCTGTACTTCATCTCATGCAATTTTTTAAAGTAAATGTACAGAATTATTAAAATAGTCCAAGATGTTTGTTACCTTCAGCCATATTCCAGAAGCAGTCAATAGCAAGAGTCACGCTTTTATATGTAAATACATGAGACAACATGTTTATGCAACATCAAGATAAATAATGGAATAAACAAAATGGGCTATTAGTATGATCAGTTTGTCATAGCAGTGAGATTTAAGATAATTAATTTAATAGATCACTGACAACTGGGCAGGCTATTCTTTTAATCTGGATTTGTAGAAGCAAAAAAGATTCAGGAGCTACTTTGATGCAGAAATAATTTCTGTTATACCCAGTGGGAGACATGTTGTTTACCTTGAAATCATTAGCTTCAAAGAAACTCAATTTGAAGTTCATTATTACAAGTTAAAAAATGAAGGGAGTCTCCTGCATGATAGGAAACTGCCAGCAATACAGAAAGTTCTGAAGCTTTGTTACATTTCTCCTTGTTTGTTTTACTAATGTATTTTAAAAACAAATTAGAAAATTCTGAGATAAAAGGTAGTCAAGTTATTTAAGAAAAACATATGGTAATATATCCCACTCATGTATATTTTTCCTACTTAAACTACTTTATTATAAATTTTAGGGATGCTGTTTTCCCTTTCCTTTTGTGTGCTAGTTTTAGGAAGCATAGCATCTCCCCATGTACAATGGGTGGATGCAATATATCCTTTTCTATCGTCACTGTAGGTGACAAGACTTTAGCGTTTTTTTCTGTACACTGTTTCAGATAACAAATTATCTTTGTTAAGATTTTCTCCCTCCTCTTTACCAGCTGAGACCTAATTTCTTCAAACGTCACTGAAATGCATAGAATCTGATACAAAGCCTACTCAGGTCAACAGTAGCCTACATTAACTTTTAGGAACTTTGGATCTGGCTACTAGGTATGCACAGTCTGCCTTAAGAAACAAGCGTTCATATAAAACAGATTTGGCACCTCTCAGGAAATGCTTAGCATCTTTTCAGGATCAGTCCTTGTATAAACATGGTTTGAAAAGGAGATTGAAGCTAAAATGTTGTCAAGAAACCTCAGAGTAGGCCAGAAAAAGTGATTGATTTCCTTACTGAGAGAGAAGCATTCCTTTGTAATCGTGGGAACAGAAGTGTGTGTGTCATTCCTCCAAAAACCTTTGCAACAAGGCTAAAGGGATAGATCAATTCTAGTACTTTGATATCGAGACCCATGTTACCTGCTTTCCAACTAAGGATTCTTTTGCATGCCACCCATGGTCATGGATTGCATTAATTAAGTTTAACCTGCCATTGGATTTGGCTTTCTTGAATTAGCAAACATATTTTCTGTAGTTTCTGTGTTTACATGTATGAGGAAACATGCATTAGTTCCTTCCTCCAAACCAGTAGTTTTATGGGATTATTAACTTAATCTTGAATAAGCTAATGAAAGCTTCTTTTGAGACATGTGGTTGCTCCAATCCCTAATACATTGCCTAAAAGATTTATTCAGCTGCAGCTGTGGCTACGATGCTAGCCAGCTTTTAGATTACTTATACAGCATGTCTCAAGACAAACAAGACATCTACATTTCTCTTTACATGAATTTTCTACCTTTATACACCACAGTCTACAGCTTTCACATAAAACTAAAATTGTAGAGGATTTCCATGCTTAATACAGCAGATAATGACCACTGCACTAAGATGTCATTCCATATTTGAATAGTGCATGGCAGTATCAGTGTTGGGTTTGACTGTTTATTTTGTGAACTGTTTGGGTTTTTTTGTTTTGTTTTGTTTAAACTCTAGTCAGTATCCAGGGTGCTTAATGTTTTAATGTACAAGATCATCCATCAGGCTTTGTTTGTGCGAGTCTGTCATTCCTGAACAAATCACTAGTATGTAAAATCAGTTCCTTTACCTTCATAAATCCAAGTTCCCAGAAACTCTGTTTTATGCAAAAATTGAGGAATATGTTGGAACATACTGATCATCTCAATGTAGCCCACTGTGAGTGTTTACAAGGCAGCAGTGGTGGCATGGAACTGCACCTGACCTAACTGCCTAAGCAAGTACCCCACACTTCTCAGCTATTTGCAAATATAGTTTCCAATCCAATAACTCTAAGGGGATATTTAATATCCTGGTGATTTTCCAGGATATTATTATAAATTTTTAAATTGAAATTAAGATTCTTAAATTTAGCCACCTACCTAAGTGGCCTGATACCTTTAAAAGTACAAAATACCAACATCACTTCCTTTTCAGGGTAAATAGTCATTTACATTTCTCATTCTTCAAGAGTTCCCAAGTCTTTAATAATTCTCATTTCCCTTCGAAGACCCTCTTTCAGTGCTGCACTATTCTTTCTGAGATGGAACTATCAATCCTGTATGTTCTGGTCAAGATTAAGGTAAACTAATAATTGCCCTGTAAAGTATCTGAATAGTTAGATTGTTTCCTCAGCAGAGTTGTGTGGACTTTGTTCTTTGGTGATGTGCTACTTATGGAGTGGCTGTAGTTGCTGGAGACAGTTATTTTGGGAAGGAGGGTGGCTCTTTTCTCTAATGGCAGCCATCAGGAAGTGTGGGTAGCATTGAGAAATATTGACTGGTGAGGGACAAAGCTTAATCTTTCTATCTATATCCTCTTACTGGGACAGTCTCTGCTTCAGCCACAGTAGATCTAAATGGCCGGAGAGCTGAGAAAAGCAAGACCAGCCTGTTTGAAATTTGCCCTTAAAGCCAGTGTTTTATTTATGATAATGCTCTACCTCTCCTTCCAGGAATGTTTAATTTCTGTAGCAGCCTTTTTTGAAGGATCTTGTCAGAGGCCTTTCAAAAGTTTAAATGAATGTCAAGGGCCTTTTAAAAATCTGAATGAATGTCAACCACTTTTCCTTTATCCACATTCAAACAATCTAAGACATCATTTTACTTTATAGAAGCTGCTCCAGTTATGTCGTAGCATATCTGTCTTCCAGATGTTTTTTCATTCTACTTCTAATTACTATTTCAGCCAATTTATTAGGCACAGATGAAAAGCTTACTGGTCTGTAATTCCTTGGTTCACCCCCAGAGCATTTCTAAACATTTACCCTCCTGTCCTCCAGTGGAATAGCTGTTTTTAATGAGAAACTGCATTTTTTTAGCAGCTTAACTACTTCATACTTAAATTCCTTTGATTTTAGCATTCACTCATTCATTCTTGGATGAATACCATATGAACCTGGTAACACTGCTTTTTAAATTATCAGTTTGTTCCACCTCAGTTTCTGAATGGCACCTCTACCTCAATATCAGAAGAAAGCAGGTTTGGGATACACATATCTTCTGAAGTGACGACTGATACCAATCAGTCATTTATGCAGCAGACATTCAGTTTCTCCTGGGAGAGTATTTGCTCTCCCAAGAGAGACCTTAAGTGTACAGATGTTCAGGCTTTTTTTCCCCAGAGTAAGAATGGCTGCACCAGAAGTTAAATCACTCCCAGGAGAAACTCTCTTGGGAGAGCAAATATCTGTACATACAGTTAGTCATTAACAAAGTTATCTTCTTTAATTGTACCCTTTTACCCCTGGTGATCTGCAGCCTTACCATTTCATCCTCAAAGGGTATTTTTTTTTCCATTTGTGTATATTCCCTTTGCTTTTCAAAATCCTTTTTGTCCTCTTATTTATTATGTGCTTTAACTTCTTGATCTAGAAAGGAGTATTCCAGCTCTGCTAGCATTAGTAGTGTTGGAATGACGTTGTAGCTATGATGGTCCAGGAAATATGAGAGGCAAGGATAGTTGAAGATGATAACTTTTATCTCAGTGAAGTAGATGGTCCAATAAAAAGATATTACCTTTAGCAACCCTTGCCTCTCTCATAAAGTATTACTATTCCTATTCATTTGGAGGTTTGCATTCATTCAGATTCAGTTGTGTGGTCCTCCTTATTTTTCATCATCTTAATATAACATGGAATCTCTTGTGGATAACACAACACTCACAAAAGCACTAGAATGTAGATTTTAATCATAAGAAATATTTGTCCTGTGTTGTAAGCATCTATTGCAGAAATTTAAAAATAAATTAGAGCAAACGTACATATATTGGCAGCCTCCTTCTAGCTTGTGTTAAAGAATCACAGCCTAATCAGTCAAATTGAAAGCATCTCCCCAAGCAACTTCCTCATCATCTTTTCCAACAGCCTATGAAAGCAGCTTTCAAGTCAACAGATCTGAGCTATTTCAAATAAAGGTGTGAAGTAAATTCTAAATTTGAGGGACTCTCCAAGAAAACCCCCTCTTTTAAATTGAGTGCTATGCAGCATCCCCTCTGCTCTTGCTTATGGTAGTATTGACTGGGAGATGAGCAGTTTTTCTGATAGGGAGAATCCATTTGATTTATATTTTTGTATGTCATAAGTAACAAACTACTAGGCACGCTGTACAAATCCTAAGTGCTGTTGTAATTTCATAAAATCTCTTCTAGAAGCAGACTACCACATTCACTGCCAGCTTCAGTTTCCAAATAGATTTTAAGGTATAGTTTAACCTGCCTGAAACTCTCAGAAGTTGTGCATCTCCTGATCTAAGTCACCTAAACAGAGAGATGGGGAATGGCTATAACTGGTACCTTTCTTCCTGTCCAGAGAGCAGCTGTGAACCTCACCAGATTCCCAAATTGTTTACCTTCATTGCAGTAATGGGTACACATCCTTCATAAGAGGGGCAGATATTCATAAGCCTTGCAACATATCTCCAAGGTAGACCAGATCAGTACCTCAAGCCAATCATTTCTATTCAGCTGGTAATTGAGCTCTTTTTCAGCATCCAGAACTTTGTTTGTTCACTTTATTATCAGTTTTTGTTTTGCGTTAATTCTAGTTCTGGCCAGGAATGATGGATGAGCTGTCAGAGCTGAGGGAGTTCTATGACCCAGACACAGTGGAGCTGATGAACTGGATTAAGTAAGAGGATTTTTTTTCTTTATTTAAGTTAAATGCTATTTATATTGACCTAGTGTTCTTAGTTATAGTGCTTTCCTTTTCCATTTGTCACAGGACAACAGTGAACTATAGTGACCTGTGGAGATAGTTAAAAAGGAATGGGCTATGTAAGGATTAGTACATTCATGTCTCCAAACAACAGCTAGTTGCAAATGTCTTACTAGCCTGCTTTGCCGTGGTACAGCAGCAGACCACTGTATTTCAACAAGAAGTCTAGAAACCAACAGACTCCATCAGCCCTCATGATTGGATAAGTACAGATAGGTCTCTCACGTGACATACTGGAAAATGCTCAAGTTTGGAGAAGGTGATGTTATCATGATAGATTGTATGGTAACTAGTAGGGCTGTGCAAAGCAGTCACTGCTTTGATTTGGCAGAGATTCAGCCGGATTCAGTGGCCAAATCTCTGAATCGGAATCGAATCAGGAGACCCTTTAATCTCTCCAAATCAAATCAGAACCCTCTGAATCGATTCGGAAAAATTAGACGATTCGGACATAGACACAGCTTTAAATGTTTTTTCTACATACCTCAAAGTACCAGGCGGCTTGTGAATGCCATGATGGTGGCATGGATGGAGCGTCCCAGAGGAGCACTG